CCCAAACCCTAAAACCCTAAGATCCAAAACCCGTACCCATCCAAAAGCCACGCTGCAAGTGCAGGGCCTGGTCTCCAGGGCGCAAGGTCAGCGGGGCCAAGATGTAGCTCAGGACACCATCCTAAAGCTCTGGGCTTTAGGGTTTAGGGCTTAGGGATGATGAGTTTTGAGTTTAAGGTTCAGGGATTAGGGGGTTTAGGATGTAGGGCTTATCATTTTTAGGAAGATAGGGATGAAGGGTTTAGAGTTGAAGGGTTTAGGGGGTTAAGAGTCTAGGGTATTTGGGATTTAGTTTTAGGCGTCAGTGTTTAGGGCGTCAAGTTCAGAAATTCAGGTATAGGACTTAAGCATTTGTTTTGGACTGGCCAGCACTCGAGCACTGGCTAGGCTTGGATGCACAACGCCTGGGCTGAGATACAGAGTCAGGAGCTCTCTTGGCTTCGCAAGAGTGCCGCTAGCACATTGACAACTGCAAACTAGGTCTTGATATGGCAGTTTAATAATCCCATTGTCCATGCCATTTTCCGTGGTCTTACACATTCGATTCTCCATAATATGTGCACATATCCCAATACGTCCCGAATTTTGGAGACCCCCAAACTCAATCGGACCCACCTGGCAACTTGACAAAGTTACCCCATTCCTAAAGTGTTCACAATGCAAACCCATTGTTTCCTTAATCTTACTGGGGGTTAGTAAGGAACAAGGGACTACTTTATGCACGTCTGTATGAGGACCATATTCCCTTATCTCCTACGAAGAACCCGTAAATTACAGACCCCATGAGGGCTCTAGCCCAGTTCTAAACCTTAAACCTTAAATAGTCGTTTCCATTTTATTTTCCAATATCCCTTATATAACCCTATATGATCCCCAAATATACCTCCCCGGGCCTTATCTGAGGCAAGGGCCTGGTATTGTATCAGAGCCACATGCGACGTCCTCTCGGGAGAGTACTCGATGCGGAGGACCGAGGCTGGAATATCCTGCAAGCACAGCGAAAACAACTGAAAGGAATGTATACATGTCCCATGTCTCCGCGTTCTCTGCTGGAATGTTCATGTGACAGCGGGGACAATTTGCGACAGACCACGCTTCCCAAACAGACCAAAGTTGGGGGGGGCCTCGCGTTTGCATCGGAATGTGGAATTTGGGCATTTGTTTGTTCAGGCTTGCGCGGCTAGGTAGAGGCTTCAAATTCAGAAAATGCATAGGGGCTTGCCAAAGGCAAAACGTTCAGGCTTTGCAACGCGCATGTGACAATAAAGCCAAGTGATGCCAAGTGGAAATGTGGCTTCACGCAGAAAAATTGAACGACAAAGAAAAACCTTGGGGTTTTGTGGCTGCAGAAGTTTATTCACTAAACTTTTTTCAGTCAACTATACTGAGTCGGGGGTCGATGTTCAACCCTTTCTTGACCCGCTCGACAAGCTGCAGCTTGGCAAAATGTAAAAAAGCGTCTGGCATCTTCCGCCAAAAGCACGACTGTCTGGCGTGAAATCTCACAGACAGTCACCTCAATTAGCTATGAGCTTTGATATTCAAGCTTCTGGCAGTTGGAACATGACAGCTGCTGGAATGGGTGAAGCCAACAGGTGCTTCGCTGACTGCAATGGCGCTACGCCTACTCGCAAGGGCGTGATGCCGCCCTACTCTTCTCTCAGGCGACTGACTGTATGCGCAGGGACTCATCCCCATGCAGCACTTGCAGCGCCCCGATGGAGGAGCGTGGACCACTTTTTGTGAGATTGCCAGAAGTACTGCCTGCATTGGTGATGTTTGCCTGTTCATCGCCATATCTTGGTTTTGCAACTTTTTTCTCATGCCGCCTTGCGGCTTACCGCGGCATCATGGGGGTGTCGACGGGCGTCACTGGGGAAGGGGTGGAAACTTAAGTCCCCGTAAAGGCTTGATGGTCCTTGATTGGTCTGAGCTAAATTTGCCTCCCTCCCATGGACCCCGCGCCACTCCCGTGGAGGAGATCTTGCGCTGTTCGGGGCACTTGGCTACTGCGCTTCCAAGGATCTACGAGACACTTTAGATAGCGCAATAACATGTCCACCACCAACAATACTGTTGAGGGACAAGCCCTGCACGACCTAGACATCTGAAGCTTGGAAAGTCTGGTAATCTATTAAGGGTCATGCTAGATCTTGTCCATCAACTGTATGAGAACTAGTCTCGGTCACTAGGCACCTCGCGTTGAGGCGCCTCCCAAGCAGGTAGATCCCATTCACACACTTGATTTTCTTGCAGGTCATCAGGGACCTCCAAGCTTTTGCAATCTCTGGCATAACCAGGAAGGCGGCCGACTGGGTAGTGGACCATGGAAGACCACTTCCGCTCATTATTCCAGAGGCTGCAGCATTCGCTGCATGTATTGCAGCAACAATGGGTTGGTTCCGGCACTCTGGCCCAAATCATGCGCCCCCTGGCCTCTGCACAGCCCTGCACCATGCAGTAAATCAATGGCGGGTGCTCCGGGTGCTCGGACGGGTCATCCCGTGCATGGTGCAAGAAAGGGCCCTCCTCAACATCTTTCCGCAGCAGCTGTTCTTCCTCCGGGGCCTCTTCTGCCTCCGTCTTGGAAAGCACCGTCATATCTGGCGGGACGCTCTTTGAGCGTCTTCTTTCAACAGCTTCAGGCTTGAATTTCGATTTTACCAACTGAAAGGCAGCGTTGTCCTCGTCATCTTTTGCTGCGACGGAGCGGGCTTCTCCAGCCTCCTCTCTGTTTTTCGGGTCTCTCACGAGCTCTTCTTGCCGCGGACCGCAGCAACCGAGGTGCGCACAAGATGCGCCCATCGGACGGCTCCACTTTACCCGCACATATGAAATTGCTGTCAGCTACACAAAATCCTATACTGTGCAAATTCCCTGCAGGCTGTCGAAGGAAATCAGTGGCACTCTAGGAGAGCACATAGAACAGTCAGTGTGTGTGTCTGACAATCGACGCACGAGTCCATTTGTTGGATTTCCCAAGTTGGGCACTTAGGAGCCCTTGCCATCATTTTAGGCACCTGCCTGGGATCCCAATCAAGGTGATTGCCGCTAGGTCCGTACATGAACTATGCCGTCCTTCCACAAGCCTTTCGTGTCTACGTAAACTGTAAACCCAGTACAATACAATACAATACAATACAATACAATACAATACAACACAAGCATATTATGCTCCCCCGTGAACCATTGAATGTCTCCTTCCGCGCGCGCTTGAAGTCCACAAAGCGGAGGCGCTGCATAGTGCCGCCTTCTCTGTGACGCGTCGTAATCCTGCAGAGACATGACCGTAAAAGTTGTTCATGTGGATACGGGCGTTCCAAAAGTCAGCGCTGCCTTCTTAGACGCGCTGGTGCTGAGGATCAAGCTGTTGCAGGTACACAGGAGATGCTTGCTGGAATTGCTAGTCCGGAAGTTGTGATTTTTGTTGGTTTTGGCAAGTGGTGTTAGCTGCATTAGTGTTTCATAGGATGGGCGAAAGCACCGCGCACTACAACTATAAGTTGAATGAATATGACAGCACAAGTGGTGCACCACATACGACATTCACGCAGATTTCGTGCTTCCTTGGCGGCTAAGTAATGAAATTTCTTCTGGCTGAAGGGTGCGAGAAAATTCTCCTAGCACCTTTCGCAAGTTGCTCAGGCAACGTGTGGCATGCAATATGCAATACGGGGCGTGCACCAGCGCTGGTGAGATGTAAAAATATGAAACGTTAATCGCTGCTGGTTCGTCCATGAGGCCTTCCTGCAGAACAGGCGGAGAATGCGCATCTGCTTCTCAAGGTACTGACCGATTGGAAATAATTGGAGGGTCTTTTTGGGGGTTCATTCAGGAGAATGCACCTACAGTAGAAACATTTGCCTTGGGGCATATTACAGTATAGTTATGTAAGGATGATAACGGGGAAAATTGGTGAAGTAAACATCCGACATCATCAAGCTCCTGCCAACATCGCCCCGGCCAGAGTGCCGAATTCTCCTTGTTGACAGCTGCTTGATCACCTGGGTGGCAGCTTGCCATGCGAGCCATACAAAGAATTAGTCTAGAGTAGAGTATGGAGTATATATAGGTCTGCAGAACCAACGCATGATTCGCAATCTGCGGCATGCTCCGGTCAGGCACAGAGCGATATCGCCGGCATCAAGCAAGCGACGAGAAGTTTATCTCCAGTGATACATCTCAACACTATCAAGCTTGAGTCCGAGGTACAACCATACTTGTAATACTTGGGGCATCATCCTATGAGCCTTATTTCACTGGAGATCTGCATAGGGCCCGAGCACGTCCCCGGAAGGTGGTTTGAGGTGTCGCCTAGCATCATGAGCGGACCCGAAACCTTACTCCTACTTTATTCCGGAAACACAAAAGCTTACGCTGGCTTGCGTTTTCCAAGCGTTTGCTTACGACATGACTTTGTAGTTGTTTCTGCCTACGCCCCTTACGCCGGGCTTGCTGCGGCTGCTGCAACTGCAAGGGCTGATTCGCTTTGGACATAAGCAACAACACAAACAAAAACAACCGCTTACGATGCCGACGGCAACAACGTTGCCACAGAATTGCTCACCATTCCTGACGAAACACAACACGTCGCTTACGGCAAACCTTGTTTCTGAAAGCCCGTGTGTTTTCTAAATAAGGAGGGTTTGTGTTGATTCATCCCTGCGCAACCCTACCTGCCATGAAATCTGTGAAACTATGGTGGTTGAGTGCCAGAACGGAATGACATCTAATTATTGCCAAGTCCCAACGCTGAAGCCGAGCTTCTGTTATGCTTGTCAGTGATAAGCACTCTGGCCATGGTGTCTCACAGAGTTTTCTTGTTAAACTTTCCGTGGCAAAGACTTTGTCATCGCAGCGCAGCGTACTGAATCGAAGGAACTGCTGCAGACTCCGAACCATGCCGTGATTTATAGGCATTGTAGGCGAAGCCCTATCTGTTAGTACCCACAACCCAATGTTCAGGCATAAAAGAAGTCGTCCGGCGACCCGTATCAACGTCAGCTATGCTCCTAGCTGTACTTGCTAGCCTCATTTCAAAGCTAGATGAGAATGTGATGCAGCCACGCTTAGGAGTTCGCAGGTCGCGTTTGAACCCCTTCTCTGACTTACGCGACCATTTGCATCTGTATCGTCTGCAAAGATGCGATGTCTGATGTCATGTTCCCGCAGCCGAAAGCATGACTGTCTGGAGCACCGTCGGGCAGACAGTCATACCAGCTACTTGTAACCTTTGATATTCATGCCTACGGTTGCCGGAACATGACAACCGCTGGAGTGGCTGAAACAAGTGACTCCCCCCGTGTCAAGCTTGGAAGCATCGCAGGAGTCACCATTTGACAATTGTCAACGTCTATGTACTCTTGGAGTAGCTATGTCGATTGGATGCCAAAACATCAGATCACAACAACTACCCATAGCAATGCCAAACGTGCTAGATGATGTCTGTTCGAGAGTGCGCTGAGTACCCCTTGCCGAGTCTCTTCTCTTTCAATACCTCAAGCGACTGGATTACGGACATGCAAACCACTGCTATCAGGTCCCAAGCTGACCTCCAAATGCATCCACTGAACCTAGATGGTTGTAAGTACCCTGATAGATGTTCGTTGCTCGGAAAACTGCAGGAAACATGCCCTTGTTGTCAAGTAATTTACAGGGGCAGCAACAGGCCTCCAACAATCGCTCAAGCTTTTGCTGCTTTGCCTCAGGACCATAGGACAACGGCTCACATTCCCTCAAGGTAGCGGGAGCTAATACTACGGCTAGAAGCACGATTATGATGCAATGCGCTCTTTACAGCTGGTACACTCGTAACAGACATGTGTCCCTGTCATAAGTGTAAAAGACAAGAACAGCTGAACTTTCAATCAAGGCATTCTTAGGCTGAAACGAGCGTGAAGGCTGTCCCAACACTTTGCTTGGGTGGCTCCCCCTTTGGAAAGCCTGGAAGCCAGCAGAAATAGAACCCTGGAGCTCCTGGGAGTTGACTGGATGATGTCCCTCATTCGCACACTCATGAACTGGCAGATTTCAAAAAAAGTCTAGCAACATGTATAAGTAGATGTAAGGCAAACCCTGGCCTGTCTCGAAATCGATATACGGAACGCGGTTCCGCTTCATGATCCGCGAGTAGCTACTGGAGCACCTGCTTGCTGCAGCTTCAACACATATAAAGCTTAAGCCAAAGCTGGAGGCTCAGACTCATGATGCAGTCAGAGTTCCTCCCTCTTCGACGAGAAAAGGTAAGGCTCGGCCGGCTACGCATCATCGTTGTAGTGGACAAATGCTATCAGCAAACTCCGCCTCTGCTCTCTTTTCTACAGATCTGGTCAGAGAACCTCACGGATATTGGTCCGCAGTTGTCCTGCCGCCTGTCACAACCGCAGAAATTCACATGGAAGCGCTTGAAGCGGAATCCGCGCTGCGCTGGCAACGCACAAGGCTCCATCCAAGAACGGGGTCTTTTGTGGTTGCTTGTGCTTGTTCTTTTGTCGCTTTGGGTTCCTCGCTTCTTCATTGCTTCCTTAATTCGACTTTTGTTCAGACAACTGCTAGTCAACAAGCTCCCCGGGTCCAGAGCAGGTTTGGCCCAGCTATTACACCAGCAGCTATCCCTATAGAGTAGGGACATACACTTGAACGGCTAGTCATCATAACTTGGCGGAGAATGTCGCTGACCTCCCAGAACCAGCAACCTTTCTGCGCCCTTCAAACATCTTTGAAGAATCCCTAATCCCTATACAATGCAAAAGAAGCCCTACATGCCCTACATAATCCCTCGAAATGGACCGTAAATACCCCTTGGTATCATCCAGCAGCAATTCATTTGAAAATGAGCGCGTCCCGATCACTGTGCAATGCATGTTGACGGAATGAAACCCTCGACCGCAGACCCTCACGAACATCCAAACAGCCCAAGTCCATATGCTCCTGAAGCCCGGCGCAAATACCGCTTCACTCATTCCTCCCCCAGCCCCGCACGCTAAGCCACCGTAACCTTCAAGTCCGTCGGGTTCCATAAACAGCCCCCCAATGCTCTTGTAGACGCCGCCCCCAACCCATCCACCCCACGTGAAGGTTCGCGGGTAGTCAAATGCTCCCACCAGCATCGCCCCACCGGCTCTCACTATTCATGCATCTGTTCATACCACTTTTGATACTTTTTACTAGGACAGTTACACCATTTCCCAGCATAGTGGCATACCGTAATTCGCAAGGTATAGGGGTGGCACGTAGGATCATGCAAGGTTTTTAAGAACAACCTAAACCCCAAATCCTAAACCCTGACCATGTGCCCTATGAACCTTGAATGAAGCCCTTGCCTCTGGCAGGGCGTAGACCTGCCCAGCGAGGGGAGCCTGTCGTCAAAAATCGCCCAGGAATAGATTCAAAGCTTAGGATTTAGGATGTACGGGTTATAAATAGGGTTTTGGTTTTAAGGTCTCCTTGCACAAGATGAGGGTACAGGGCTTAAGTAGTTTAGGGTTTAGGGATTTAATGCATGGTTTTTGAGCATGGTCTCCCCAAGCAATACACTTGTTGTTCTTCTTAAGGAACCTTACATACACTCAGCAAAACTGATAGTTAAACCCCAGCTTATTTGTTCTCCTTACGCGAAGTGATGTCTAGGCGGTACAGCGCAAGCGATCCACAGTAGGATTGAGATTTGTCAGCTGGTATTGCTATCTCCTTGAAGTGCCAGATTCACGACAGCAAGGCGCAGCTTTGCCAGGATAAGTTGCCAAAAGAGCAACAAGACGCGCAGCTCATGCCGCAGTTTTGTAAGGTCCATGCATCACGGCACGCCACATCTGCAGCCGTCTGGCTGTTGTCATGCCCTCTTCCTCTTCACCCTCCGCTTCGTCCTCCTCTTCCTACTTCTTGCGCGACTTCCAAGCCTCTGTGCCTATCCTGCACTCTCTTCAGTCATGGCCCTTTCCTTGAAAACCAATGGCTAGCTTTGAAGCAGGAAGGTTGAATATTCTCTGATATTCATATGAGGGAACACGATCTCCTGTATGAAGGCTTGTTTGAGGACTCCCACTGTCTGTCCCCTCGAGCCCTTGTTCTTGAAGGCGGTAAGGAATGAAAATCATAAGGCAGGTGCAGGCTGGAAACTTTGATCCGGAGCCTGTGTCCATGCTGGATGCACAAAGACGCGAGCATGTTACAGCAAAAGCCCTGGAAAACGTCACAACTCCTTCTGCAATGCCTCCTAAGGTGTCATGATGGAGGAAAGATGTGAGATATGCCAAGCTATGAGCTGTCCACGCTTGTTATTGGTTAAGTTGTAATTCGGAGCATTAGCACCCATCCTGAAAGAAGCTCAGTCTAGCTTGCAGTTCAGGTCCTGCGCGCTCTATGCTAGGCGAACTGCAGCCATCTCGTGTCAACTGCGGCCTGTTACTTATCCAGACACATGGCTTGCAAAGCTGCATGTAGTCTGTGCTTTTGGCATCAACTCAACATCTCAAACCAAAAGCTGCAGACTGTAAAGCCCAATCCCCCTGGCACCTGGCAAATGCATCGGCAAAACGTCGACACCACATGCCTTCTGGCTTCAGGTGAGTCTAGTCTACCCTCCAAGCTTGCATGCGGCGTTTTGCAACATCATGGGGTCCTTTGAGGTCCTCAGCATGCGGGTGAAATTCAAGTGAAGGTAGGTCGCAGAAGCCAAATCAGAGAACTACCCTTCCAGGGATGAATGCAATTTCAAAGCAGTTGGACTCTACAGCTTGGCGGCATTGTAGATTGGGGTTTGGGTGCGATCAGACTCAGGTCACGTGATCTGGAAAGCCTAAAAGCGTCATAGTCATACTTCAGAAGTCTGTCTCCGCAGCATCACAAGTCCTTGCACTTCTGCTAGATATTACAAGTAGGAAGCACGACGCAGTCATCCACCTGGCTTTGTGGGACACGATTCATGTCCTGACTCGAGGTAGAATGTTGCAGTGACAGCGAGTCACAACGTTAAGAAGAACCATCTCGCACGTCCCCTCTCCATGAGCAACAGCACCCTCATGAAGTAGCGGCAAGGGATGGTTTTTGCTGCTTGAAGAAACGGATGGGCAAAGATCACCCCTCAAAGCCTCGTCTCAGCGTCGCGGCCCATGCGGAGTCGACGCAAAGGAAGGATGCAAGCTCAGGAAAAAGGTTGAGGCTCTGCGTTACATACACTGATTCTGTAGTCAAGGAGAGTCTTTGCTCACTCTTTGCTCGCTTGTGGTGATGGGGACTCTAGGTTCTTTGTGGGAATTCTGACGGCTTGAAGCATGAAATTAGGCCTGAGAATGCAAATGCAGTGTGGGTTCTGGATACAGCTGAAGTTCTGGAGGCGTGCGTTGATGAACAGCTTGGTCTGGGGTAGCACATGGCTGCTCCGAAGCCCTGGCATGGCGTGGAGTCTAAGAGCCGGGATCTTCTGCTTCACGACGACCCTTCAAGCTGCCAAATGCAAATTATGCTTTGGGATTCGAACAAAACTGCGTGGTACTGCGCCTGGTACTGCCTCTTGCCGCAGCAACGCATGTGCAGGGTTTAATGTCCACCCAAGTACATCTCTGGCTGGGACAAGCAAGCAGGCCGCTCATGCGACACCTAATGTTCAAACTGGCCACAATTAACTGCGCCCTTGACAGGCGGCGAGGTTTACCTATCACATGACGTCCAGCAAGACAAACGCCTGCCCAAGACCTTAAAAGCCTCATGCCTTGGGATATCACATCCCAAGCTCTACTCTCCCCGAAAAAACACATGCTGGCTTGTGTCAATAGGATGATCCTCTTCACAGGATCTTAAACTTGCATGTACAGAACCCAAGACCTGGGAAGCCTTAACCAGAGAATCTAGAGCACCGACGGCTGAACAGCCCTTGATTCTGAGAACCTTCCCTCTTTACTCTATGGGAGATGTCCCCTCCAGCCCAGTATAGCACATAGAACCTAATCCCTAAACGGCACTAAACCTTGCATAGATCCAAAACCTTGAATCTCCAAGCCCTTACAGCCCCAAAGAAACACCCCTAAACCCCTAATTGTAAAACTCAATATAACCCTATAATATACTATAATATACTATGCAACCCCTATATAACCCCCCATTCTAACTAGGGCTCCTTCGGGCCGCCCCAGTGGAACTCAGGGATCAGGTTGCCAAGGCCTCCTGCCTCACACGTGTACCTTGCTCTTGCAATCACTGGGCAAGGGTCCGAAAATTGGGGGGGGTTCCTTTTCTGGGTGTCCCTTTAAAGGCATCATGATGTATTGAGGTGTACACTGGGGCACAATATTTTTGGGAAACTACCACTTAGCCATAGTGTTGCTGAGAAACTCTTTATCCTCTTCCCATGAACGCTGAGCCACACCTCGTGCTTCGCACTTGCACTTGTTCTGGCTTTCCTGCCTCTCCACGTGAGCCATAGTCTAATCTCCTAGAAACCCTCTTTATGAGCCCCATAATTGTCCCCTCTAGAATCTCCCTGTATAACCCCTTTTTAAAGGGTTTAGACCCTAAACCCTAAACCCTATATAACCCGCTTTGAAGGGTGTAGACCCGAAACCCTTAACCCTAACCCCAGTATAACCCCCTTTTAGGAGGTTAGACCATAGCTCATATCAAGCCCGACTCGGGATGGTCCCAAGGGCCAACGCGGCTGGACTGAAAGCTGGCTGTTCTCTGGGCTGTCAAAGGTGCAGTAGCAGAGGCGTGTAATAGTAATAGAAATAGCAACAGTAACTGTAACAGTAATAGCAACAGTAATAGTAAAGGTAACGATAACAATAGTCTAGGGTTCCCACGAGCACCCAAATCAAGCATTTGGGCTCTATGGTCTCGTGGAAACAGTCCTTTGGTATTGCGTTCAAGCATCGATGCTCTCTAGCAGAGCAAGCCTACAAAAAACTGCGTTTAGTATGGAATAGCTCCCTCCCGCACAGGACCAAACTACGTATGTTCCAAGCCACTTTCCCTGCAGTCCTTACGTATGGACTTGATTCATTCACACTTGCGGACAAGCAGCTGCAACGCACAGACGGGTTTTACTTCAGGTTTCTAAGACGTATCATAGGAATCAAGGCCTCTTATTATTCCAGAATCTGCAACAGCACTGTCTACCATAACGC